TCCCCCCTCTGCTTCTTCCACCCCTTCCATCCTACACACAGGCACTGGCTGCCCTGGCTGGTACTTGATGTAAGTGAAGCCTCGACACCCCTTTCTCTTCACCGTTTTCTTAGATCACATGTTGATAAATCAGGTCACTACTTCCTTTCCCACGTGATTATTTTCCCATAGTAACTGCTTACACGTCCATCAAGGGAGAGGTAGAGCCCCATAAGAAGGGTTCCATCTCTCCGGCTACTCTCAGGAGCAGGCGACCAGTCTTAAGTCAGTCAAGACGCCAGCTACACGAGAGAGAGAAGATAGTATTTGTTAGAGTTTGGAGATACAGAGGTCATACCTGGAGTGGATTCTGAATGTTCCGGCTAGCCCCCAAGCCCGGCCCGGGGCCAGGCTCGGTTTGTGATAACTTAGTATTAATATTTACACACACACACACACACACACACACACACACACACACACACACACACACACACACACACACACACACACACACACACACACCTTTCACACATTAAGAATGTGATTGTATTCGGGAGGACAGAACTTAAGAACAAATATCAACACTACTTCCAACCCTTCCCCCTCCCATGGGAACCCCTAACAGCAACCAACACAAACACACACTTACCCCCAGCCACCCGCCCCACGCATACAATACCCCCGCTATCCAATCCCTCCTCTCCCAGCACCCCCCCCCCCCCCTCTCCGGGCCAGATATATATCTCACACACACACTCTCACGTTTTGATTTAAAACTTGACGGCTTCGTTTTTTAGGCTTGACTCGTTTAGTGCCACTAGAGTTTTTGAAGTGTAATTGGGTGTAACATTTTTTTTTCTTTGTACCGGTGGTTAGGACGGGGTTTTATTCCATATTATTCCATTTCCATTTCCATTATTATTATTCCATTCCATATTCCATTATTTTATTCCATTATTATTATTTTATTCCATTGATGTTCTCAGGCGGCTGAGGGGCGCTCAGTTAATTTAGCTTTTAGGTTTATTCACAAAATAAACGACATGAAACACTAAAAGGTTAAATATTGCATTATGCGTGCAGTCTCTACCTGGGGCTCGAACCCCGCACAAGGAAGACCTGTGATAATTGACCCCACGTTGCAACCCAAACATCCTGGGGTAAATACAAGCCAAATTTAGTCTTGTATGGTGCACGGGCAAGCTGCATCAAATGATCATTCTAAACCGCCTGTCACGTAAAACAGATCGACAAGGGGAAGGAGTTAGCGGATTTGTCAAAGGACCGAGCACAGCCAACTGTTAAGCTGACTATGTAGCCGATGACACAGTCAAGTGCTCTGTTGACACCACGGGAGCCCTTGACCGCGCTCAGGGGATTGCCATCCTGGTTGAACTAGCATGCCTGAGCATCAAGGGCAGACTCATCAAATGACCTGAAGACTCTTAGAGGATGGAAAGACAACTTCCGCATAGCCGGATCAGTTTCGAGTAGAACGAATATGGACCTCGGAGCCCCCTTGAAGAGGAGCGTCAAGTCCCACACTATTCAACACCTTCATGAACGTAGTTGCCAATGGCGCACTGCCGGAAGAGGTGTAAATAGGACATGAAGGCAATGTTCTGACACAACATGACCTCCTCCTCCTCCTCCTCCTCGCCGCCTTGTTGACAGGTGAAGTAGCCCTGGTACACAGCCCAGGTGGCTGAGGGAGCCCCAGGTGGCTGAGGGAGCCCCAGGTGGCTGAGGGAGCCCCAGGTGGCTGAGGGAGCCCCAGGTGGCTGAGGGAGCCCCAGGTGGCTGAGGGAGACGTGGAGAGCGAGGCAGGCGGAGTGGACCCTCACTCCATGCTCCCAATACCAAAAAACTCATTTAACGGACAAAATTGACATAAATACCCATTATAAGGTACTCACCTACATGTACTCACCTAGTTGTACTTGCGGGGGGTTGAGTTTTGGCTCTATGGTCCCGCCTCTCAACAAGTGTACAGATTATGGAGCCTATTGGGCTCAAATGACAAATCTAAGCGCTCTATCAATAAGATGACCATACATTCTTGTTCCCCTCTCCTCTTCCATCCTTCCCTGCCCCTCCCCTTTTCCATATTTCCCCCCCCCCTCCCTCCACTCCATTTCCCCTTTTACTTCCACTCTCCATTGCTCCTTTCCCCCCTTCAATCTCCCTCCATGCTTCTCCCCTCTCCACAACCCCCCCCCCACCTTCCTTCTACTGCCTGTCCCCCTCTCCTGCCCATCCCACCCACACCCTCACTGCCCCTCCCCCCACACCCCCTCACTGCCCCCCCCCACCATAACCTGCCACCCGTGTCTTTGTTAGCGCTTATCAGGATGGCGGTGAAATTGACTTTTCACTGTTGCCTGCGTCATCCCGCACATTTGTTAAGTCGGGTCAATATTTCCAGCGGTGCCGTATTAGCCTGGCGCACTGCAGGTGAAACTTGACCTCTCTCTCATTTACACTTCAACACTGACGCTGTTACCCCCCCCCCCTGCCCCCCCCGTCTCAGTAAATCACGTTCAGAAGGAGATTTACACACCGGCTCTTATTTACAGCTCTGCCGCCCACTACAAGGTTACTTACATTTACGTAAGATCTGTACTTACTTACATTTACGTTACGTAAATGTTACTTACATTTACGCGGGTAATGTTGACCCTGTGGCGCGGCGCGCTGTGTTGCGGGGTTACAGGCTCCTCTCCCCCCCCCCCCCACGTGTTGTACGCCGCAGTGCACGCCACACTGTACGCCACCTCAGCCTGGGGGAGAGGGGGGAGGTTACGTACGCGCGCGCGTCTCAAACTCACGCTACAAACTTGCGTATCTTGAGTCGTAACTTACAGATGCTGGTATCAGCTGTTACATCAATACCTGACACAAATTACCCGATACAGTAAAGTGTCAACAATTATGTTGGGCGCCATCTTGATGACGTCATCATAACTATGGTCAACAGACTGTAGAGCGCCACCATGGCCACTACTCCTCTACAGGTCCGTCCAACCACTTGGGCTGGACGGTAGAGCGACGGTCTCGCTTCATGCAGGTCGGCGTTCAATCTCCCCCGACCGTCCAAGTGGTTGGGCACCATTCCTTCCCCCCCCCCCGGCCCATCCCAAATCCTTATCCTGTCCCCTTACAAGTTCTACATAGTCGTAATGGCTTGGCGCTTTCCCCCCTGATAATTCCTTCCTTCCTCTACATGTGGGGGATGATAAGTGAATCAAGGGGCCTCGTAGCCTGGTGGATAGCGCGCAGGACTCGTAATTCTGTGGCGCGGGTTCGATTCCCGCACGAGGCAGAAACAAATGGGCAGAGTTTCTTTCACCCTGAATGCCCCTGTTACCTAGCAGTAAATAGGTACCTGGGAGTTAGTCAGCTGTCACGGGCTGCTTCCTGGGGGTGGAGGCCTGGTCGAGGACCGGGCCGCGGGGACACTAAAAAAAGCCCCGTAATCATCTCAAGATAACCTCAAGATAAGAAGATCCCCAACACAGTCCCCCACATATGCTGCTACTGTAACCAGAGGCGGGACTGTTCGGTGCATATAGGCCTACACGCACCTCACGCGAAGGTTATCTTGAGGTTATCTTGAGATGATTTCGGGGCTTTAGTGTCCCCGCGGCCCGGTCCTCGACCAGGCCTCCACCCCCCAGGAAGCAGCCCGTGACAGCTGACTAACACCCAGGTACCTATTTTACTGCTAGGTGACAGGGGCATAGGGTGAAAGAAACTCTGCCCATTGTTTCTCGCCGGCGCCTGGGATCGAACCCAGGACCACAGGAACACAAGTCCAGCGTGCTGTCCTCTCGGCTCCCTGGTCTAAACATACTCCTAGAGGATTTTTGTTAAGCAACCTGGTTGACCAGACCACGCACTAGCAGGGCTGGTCAGAGACCGGGCCTCGGGAGCCTTGATCCCCGGAATCATGGAGTAAAAAAAAAATCTTAGGTCAATGCGGAGGTCAGCAACGGTTTTCATTCT